AAACAATCCCATTTATAACTGCATCAAAAAATATAAAATATTTAAGAATAAATTTAACCACAGAAGTGAAAGACCCATACTCTGAAAACTTTAAGACACTGAAGAAAGAAATTGAAGGAGATAACAAATAAATGGAAATATACCTTGCTTGTGGGTTAGAAGGATTAATATTGTTAAAATATCCTTACTACCTAAAGCAATATACAGATTCAATGAAACCCCTATAAAAATATCAATGGCATTCTCCTCAAAATTAAAACAACTAATCCTAAAATTTATATGGGACCACAAAAGAAAGAACAAAGAAAGAACAAAGAGGGAGGTGTCACGCTCCCTGAAATCAAACTATACTACAAAGCTACAAGAATCAGAACAGTAGTGTAGTGGAATAAAAACAGATAATATGTCAATAGAATAGAACAGAGAGCTCAAAAATAAATACTCACTTATATGGTCAATTAATTTACAACAAAGGAGACAAGGATATACAATGAGGTCAAGACAGTCTCTTCAATAAATGATGTTGGGAAAACTGGGACACATGTATGCAAAAAAAGAAAAAAAGAAAAAAATTGGACCACTTTCTTACACCATATAAAAAAATAATCTCAAAATGGATTAAAGACTTAAATGTAAGCCCTGAAACCATAAAACTCCTAGAAGAAAACATAGGCAGTAAACTCTTTGACATCTATCTGTCTTAGCAGTACCTTTTTGGATATGTATCCTCAGTCAAGGGCAACAAAATAAATGGCACTAAAAAGGTTTTGCACAGCAAAGAAAATCATCAACAAAATGAAAAGACAACCTACTGAACGGGAGAAGATATTCACCAATGTGACATCCAAAAAGAGGTTAATATCCAAAATACATAAGGAACTGATAAAACTTAATAAAAACAATATAATTAAAAAATAGGCTGAGAACCTGAATAGACACTTCTCGCAAGAGGACATACAGATGGCCAATAGACATATGAAAAGATGCTCAACATCACTAATCATCAGAGAAATGCAAACTAAAACCACAATGAGATACCACCTCATCCCTGTCAGAATGGCTATCATCAGTAAATCAACAAGTGCTGTAGAGAATGTGGAGAAACGGGAACACTTGTACACTGTCGGAGGGACTGTAAATTAGTATAGGAACTATGGAAAACAGTATGAAGATGCCTCAAAAAAATTAAAAATAGAACTGCCATATGATCCAGTAATTCCACTTCCGGGTATTTATCCAAAGAAAACAAAAACACTAATTCAAAAAGGTCATATTTACCCCTATGTTTATTGCAGCACAGTAATGGCCAAGATATGGAAGCAACCTCGATGTCCATCAACAGATGAATTGATAAAGATGTGGTGTATATACATACACACACACACAACACACACAACACACACACACACACTCACTCACATATAATGGAATATTATTCAGCAATAAAAAGAACAAAATCTTTCCATTTACAACAACATGGTTGGACCTAAAGGGCATAATGCTAAGTAAAATCACTCAGAGAAAGACAAATACCATATGATTTCACTCATATGTGAACTCTAAGAAAAAGAAAACAAATAAATAAATAAAACAAAACAGAATCAGACCCAGAGATATAGAGAACAAGCTGATGGTTGCCAAAGGGGCAGACAGGAAACAAAGGGAAGGAGGGCAGGGAATAGAAAATAAACAAACAAATAAATAAAAATTTTTAAATGAAAGAAAAAAAATGAGATCTTTTCATAACTGAAAATACAAGAGAATTTAATCAGCTGCGTATATACTTTTAAAAAGCTCTCAGACTAAAATATAAGAACCTTAAAACTTAGATAGCAAATTTAGTAAATTGATGTTTGAAAAGTAAAAACAAAGATAATTCAAAAGACAAATTCATTATACATTACCCTGTATGAGTATTGTTTGTGAATACGATTTCATCTAGAGCTGTAAATGTAAATCAAGGCCTTTCCTAGAGGAAAGCATGGGCATTTGGCTACATGAAATACCACTCTAAGTAGGGGAAGAGCTTGTTGGATAAGTCACCATTTTTTTAAACAAATAAAATTATATTCAAGTTTGTCTCACAGCACTGATATGTATAATGTGAAAAAATGTAAAATGTATAAATGTCTAACAACAGAAGGATAAATAAATTAGTGTAGATGCTATCAGTGGAATATTTTGCATTCATTAAAAATATTTTCTAATAAAATTCACACCAGGGGAAATCCCTATGATATGAACTAAATGTAGAAATAATCAGGATGCAAATATGTAAACCCAGTATGACTCCCAACTCTCTCT